AAATTATATTATAAAATGAATAGTTTTAACCAGTGGCGGCTCGAAGGGAGTATATTTGAATCACGTGATTCACAAATATATTAATGGGTGGTTGGGTGGGTAGGTCTTATGGTTGGAAAAGGTAGATTGGACCATTTTTGCAGGTTGGTATTTAAATATTAAATTATAAATAATAAATATAATATGTGTACTCAGCAGATAATGTACAATAATAAGTAATAACTATATTTTAGGATGGGTGGTGTAAAAATATTAAACGTGATTCGAGGGAAAAAAAGTTCAAGCCGCCACTGGTTTTAACTACATTTTTTCTGAGAGAATCTTATCACCCCTTATTTTAAATTCACTGTTCATTAATGTAACCGGTTGTTGCTGGCATAAATGTTTAAAATAGTATGATCGCCTATAAGGTTAGTAATTTAATGTCTTATAATAATTAATTTTATAAAATACAATTCGGGTTATTTTACTGGGATGTAATTTTTTATATTATATAAAATTATTTTTATAATATGATGCAGAATAGCAAGATTTGTTAAAAATATAATATGTAACATAAATTAAAAATTGAACTATCGTCAAATCCAACATATGAATTCATATRATGTTTTTACCATTAAATTTTATGAGAGGTCAATTCACTTTAATTTTTTAACTAATGGAGCTAAACAGCAGATCGCTGAACATAAATTTGTTATGTTATTATACCATATTTTTAATGATATATGTTATTAGCAATTTTCTAAATTAAAACCACTTAGTTTATCTCATACTACCTCATTATAAGTAAGTTAATTTATYAACAACATAAATATAGAAAGAAAATTTAAAAAAAATAAGACAAAAATTGTATTAATTATTTTAATATAATCGTTTAATTTACAYGAAAGGAAACATTGATGTAATTGTTTTTAAAAAATCAGAATTATGCTTTTTTGGTTGCAGCTTTCTTCTTTCTGAATTCGGCAAACTTGGTCCTCAAAGCTGTCCTCTTTTCGCTTCTTTCAATAGCTCGGGCACATTGATCCGCAGTGGACAAATTTCCYTTTAAAGCATATTTCTGATTCCTTAAAAACTTTTGACACACCTGTGAAAACATATATGTTAGAAGAAATAATATAATCRTGACCATTTAAATGATTTTAAGAAAATTTTTTATTTTATTTGCTACTTACACCACGACGTGATTCATGTCTGTATTTCTTTGGCCTGTAAATACCATTACGATGGTCCTTACGATCTGTTTAAATAAATACATGTTATTAAATAATTTTTATACACATTGAAAATTAAMAATCTTACTTTGATTGTGATTGGTATGATTCTTCGACTTGGCCATGTTTCAAGTTTAAATGAATATAATTTCTGAAAGAAAATATCAGATAAGGTTTTATTTTTATTTTCATTTAATAGGTACAACTATTTGCAATAGTTATTCTATAGTAATTATCATTCAACATATCTACATTAACAATACCTATTTAATTTATAATATTAATAATTTACTTAGCGACTTTCACAATTTTATATACAATTACAGAGGTCCAGCAGTTCAGGCATAAAAAAAAAAATTAATCTTTAAGAGTACATAACAGTAGAATTTGTTGTCTCCGTCTTGCCAGTGCGTAATATAGCAAATTTACGCTCAGCAGAACACYTGTAGCTCCTTTAGTTTAAAAATTACAGTGAGTCGACCTATTATGAAACTTTATGGTAAGAACATTATCTGTGTTTGTACGTTGGTTTTTTACAATAATTCAATTACAATTTTTAAGTGAGTTATGAGCATTTTTAATGTACTGTATATTATATGCTCATAACTCGTTTAAAATTTGAATTATCGTAAAAAACCAACGTACACACACAGATAATGTTTGATAAGATGGATAAGATAAGATGATAGATAAGATGGAGACAAAAAATTTTACTGTTACATACTCAAKGTGAGTTTTAAAATTAATGTATGAGTTCTTTTTTGTTCTTTTTTCAATGATAAAAACATTGATTTATTTAATTTTAGTGGTCACATATAACTTTTATAAAAATTGAAAACCTACTAATTCATAGTGAATGTGGTAACCRAAGAAGTTCCACCAAATGTACGTATTAGAAAATGTATATAAATTTATAAACAATGTTCAATTTTAATTCAAAATAAAAATAAATACCTATTTATTTACAATATTTTAATACTGCTAAGTGATAATTAATGTTAATACAACTGAAACTAAAAGTTTAATTTTCAAGATGCAACAA